TCATCGTTTTGTGATCCAAATTTAACAAAACTGAATTTGGGGAATGTACTTTGAAGACGGGAGTGTGCTTTGCTCGGAAAGTAGGCGAAAGCGAAAAGAATCAGACGTTTACAATTCTCTTTGATGCCAAATTGGAGAGCAGCGCTTGAGAAGGACAAGGAGAGTGTACGGAAGGGAGGGTATGCCACTTCTTTCCCTCCGTACCCTCCCCTCCTCCTCTTTTTTTTCCTTCCCATTTAGCGGGAAATTTTCGCTAAATTTAGCGGAAACATTTTCCCGGGTTGAGTGGCGTCACATGTGACGTCATTAGGGGAAACGTCCCATAATGCAAAGCGCGGTTACACCGACGGTGATGGCGACACCGCACAACCCGGAGACGGGCGCCTAAGAGCTGTGCTCTAAAAAATACTTTGAGTAAACCACAAGCACATACTAGGATAACTTACTTCAAGTCAAGTGCAAGTTCTCTAATTCTACTTGAAGTAGTACTTTAAGTGCAATGTATTTAAAATACTACCCTACACTGCTTGACACGCATGCCAGGGATACAGCGCCGCCCCCCACTGCGCGGCGCCGAAATTGGCGAAGTGGGACGTCGGCGGTGAGCTTCGGTTGCTAGGTGTTAAGTGGGGCTGTGGCGCCATCCTGTGGCGACGTTGCGAACTTCATAAACGTGTGCTCTAACCGCGTTCAAGGTCAGTGCATGTACCACGGCACCAATCTAACACATTGAAACAGAAATGCTACACTACTGTGTTTTGTCCGTTTTTCCACGCGATTCTTGGTTTCACGCGTAAAAGAAGTTGAAGTGACTGTTCCAGGTTGCTCTGCAGGTTCCGGTTTTCCTCCGGGTCTCTGTCAAAAAGCTTCTGTCAGACCTCGTCTAGCCCGGAACAATCTGTCCTGCACATCCAGGGGCGGATATAGAGGGGGGGGGGGGGGGGGGGGGGGGAGTGCGGATGTCTTGACCCCTTCTTGATTTTTACATGTGTAAATTTTAGGGCGTAAAACAAGGGAGAGGGGGAGTGGATTCTTAAACATATGGTACGCAGACGAACACCTGACCCCCCCCCCCCCCCCATCCCCCTCAGGAAATTTCTGCGTCCGCCCCTGTGCAAATCCATCCAAAATTTGATTCCACTTAACTTTTGTGCGCCTGTGTTGCACTGAAGTGTGTTTCGCGAATGTGCAGGAACGAGGACATCGACAAACGCTTTCCGCGAGCACAACCCTCTGTCGCTTTTACACCGAGCCTCCAAGAGCAGGACCATACTTGGGTCACCTTGGGTTAGTGAAGCTGAAGGCGCCCGCGTTAAGCCTGTCGTGGTGTTATGTCTACCTTGGTACGTAACAGCGACGCGCAAAAAACATTGGTCTTTGTAATACGACAGCGCTGCTCGCAACGTGATCGGCAATAGACGACGTCGACAAGAAATGATGACCATGTACAGTGTTCCGCTTTACCGCGTCCAGTCGACAAACGGCCGCGAGTCACCGAGTCATTTGTGCTCCGTGTGAAGCGTAGTAACCAATTCAAGGAGTATCTTGGCAAACGGCATTCGAAGCACGGGTGTCCTGGTTACTAGCAGTTACGTTGATCTGAAACCACAAAGCTCTGCTGCAGTTCACCACGCCAGCCGCACTTATGACCACTAACGTCTACTAAAACCAACGGTTCATTGTTGACGTAGCCTCCCTTTAAAAGAGAGGTTTTATGGTGGGAAAGCAGAACGTCTGTTTCAGTTTCTTCGATTTATTTTACACGAAGTAATAAGCTTCGGCGAATTGTATCAAAAGAGTGAACATATTGCTAAATCCCTCAAAATCGAAAAACACGTTTTTTTTTTTTTGTTTGTTTTTAATGTGCAGAATTGCCTTTATGGTTTCTTTAAACGGTTTGTTTGTCTTTGCTATCTTAACAAGTGTCAAGCTGTAACCTTACAACCAGTCGTGATGCAAAAAAGAGTCGTATCAAATCACGCTGCACAGTAGCCATCCCCCGCAGATGCCTCGAGCTTGACTTGACGGAAAAATAAAGCAATAGTCTGCCTCTGTTTTCAACGAGTTAATCTTCGATACATTTGCAGCCTCCTAACAACCAGCACTTCCTGTTTCGGGCACGTTTCAAATAAACGAAAGACCCACTTGAGGCATTGTCTATCTTCAGTCCATCTTCACCCGCAGCACTCGTATCCGAATCTCGCGAACGCCATCCTCTATCTACGACGCGTAACACTCAAAACGTACCGAATTCGCCGTTTGCGATTCGACAGCATACGGCCGCTCTTCCATTCGAGGTGCGGCCAACCTCGGGCCTACGCCGTAGATGAGAAAGTTAGCCAGTGCAGCGCGGCTGCGAGCCTGAGGTGCGTAACATGCATCACGCCGGAGCGACAGACGACCAGCACGCCGGTACGATGCTCATCGAAATTGAATAGCACACAAGTGACAATTGAACTCGGGATTCCTGGGTTCTGCAGTGAGCTTTCGCTCCACGCGGTCCGAGCTAGGGCGCGTGAACACACTCAGGCACCACGTAACGTCCTAACACTCTGATGGCGCCAAATCGTCCCTTGGGCCCGACCCCGATTCCGAGCGCCCTTCGACCGATTCACTAGACACGAAGAGGAGTCGAATTGTAAGGCAGAGCTTGTGTCTCCTATGTGTCTGCGCTCGATTTCACGGCGGTGAAGCCGACGCGCGGCTCTTTGATTATTCTAAGTTGTGCTGATCTTCACCAAAAAAATGACAAATATCGAGGAGGAATCAGAGCAGATAGTCGTACTCCGTTTTACACTAGGTCTGAAAGCCGCCACGGAGATGATTGGTTGAAGTTATCCTAGATGTCCAATCATTACCGCTCAAACCGGCTAAGCCATTCACGCACAACGAACGCACAGTGATCCTGCGCTTGATCCTGCATGTGATTGGTATAGACGCTTGCAAAAAAAATTGCCTTCTGCGCGCTGCCATCTTTGTCCGCTGGGCTGTGGAACGTCTTCTCAGCATGCGCTGTTGATATGTTGTGCGCCATATCGGACGCTGGGCATGCGTCTACAGCTCGGTGACTCAGCATCTTTTGCCCGGGCGATGAGCGATGCATGGGTCGACAGCCGACGATGTAGCGAACGCAAAAAAGCAAAGTGCCATGCAAATGCACTTTAGGACCTAGTTGATTGTCTCCGTGGGATAGTAGCCTTGACGTAGCTCGGACTTAGTGAAAAATGGGGTATGGGGAACCGTTAGAAGCTTACGCTATCGATGATCAGAGGGTAAAGAAATACGTCAGCCAAATATATGTGCAGCGTGTCGAAAGAAGAAAAACACTTAGTGTTTCTTGTTTCTTTTTTAAAAAAAGAAACATTCTACACATCGTTGAACGTTCATTTCCCATCCAAGTGTTGAGCTTGCGGTGCGGACCATGCAGCTGGCAAAGTTTCAAAAATAACCGTTATCTGCTTCAATAGTTATAAGCTGTTTTTTAAAAGTATTCGGTGGGACACTGGGGCCCGTTTTAGCCCGTCTTTGGTAACCGCTGCCGTTCAGCTCTATGTATTTAACAGCTCCGTCGGCCGCCATTTTCCCCATGAAATATTTCAAAAACTACTTTAGAAATTTGGAATTATATGACGGTTAGTTATGAAACAATGGCATCTGGTTCTGAGCGCTAGCGCGACATTTTGGTAGGGAAGGAGAATTCGGTGATGCGGTAAAAAAAGCCCTCCTTTTTATTTATATTTTAGAGGGAGGGGACATTTTGTACATGCATTTACGAAGGAGGTATTGTTTATGAACACGTGTTGACTATGCTCAGGTGTAGTCTTTTTCCTCGCTTGCATTCTTTTAAAAAATGTTACTCGTGTGTAAGTTCTCGTCCCTTCTGCTTTTTGTTCTTTTGTCTCACGTCTTTTATGCGCGCTGTCTCACAAGAATGAATTAATTCGCTCAAATCGCTAAAATAAAGAAGACAAGGCAAGACAGCGCTACTTTTATTTATAGTATTATAACATTTAGGCATAAATTATCTCAACAAGATACTAAATCTTGTTCAAAAGTAAAAGAGCATTCCGACTAAAACAAACATAGTTCTTTTTTTTTCGTTTAAATTGCACTTTATTTTGGGAAGCCGGTATTTTACAGTTTATATCGGATTTATAAAAATATCAGGATAGACAGGATTATTAGGAACTTATATATTGGTCGCTGCTTAGGAATTCAAATCATCGGTATAGGTTGAGACTCATATCTCTTCATAAGCCGCCTCTTATCGCTTATACACGTCAAAAGGATATACGGATTTGACACCCATTGGCTCGAAATAGACCCCACACTCGGTAAACGGTAGATAACGAAACCGATGACGCAGACTATCATTAATATTACCATGATTGACAGCGAGTTCCAATTGCAAAAATCGAAACTGAACATAATATCGTTTTATTATTATTGGTCAAACTGGGTTCATTGTTCACGAAGCATGTTGTTGATCCTGCGAAAATGCCGGTAAGTTTAACGGCCTGTTTCGTAATTAAGGAGAATAAAATAAACAAAAAAGAAAAAAAAAAGACAGGCATGCCAGCGGTCCTTCTTCGTTTCTATCTTTGCACGTGCTCGAGCACGGGCCCCCGTCCAATTGCCTGCGATATCCACTTCAGCTCGTTCAATTTAGCGCCGGAGAGCACTTCAACACCTGACACCCACCTATCCGACTTCAAGTGGGAGACCCTACGGCTAATTCAGAGCTCTCTCAGCCATCCTCTCATTCGGGGTGAGAAAAATGGCGCCTTTTAGCCACGTGACCGGTGTCGGCCAATTGGAGCGGCGCAGTTGGTGGCTCGGACCAATCGGAAGATCTCGGGACACTCGTGTGGTTGAAGCGCCATTTGAGGGATGTTGAAAGTTGCGGGTGCTTCTTCTGGGCTTGATGATGGGGTCTTTACGTAGAAACGGAGCATCGCCCCGAGTATATATGGAGGTAATTGGCTATCGTGTCCAGCGCACCCGCCCCTACTGTTCATTGCGATTTGAACGCTAGGTCTCTAGGGATCTTCCGGAGCCGCAACCTGACATTAAGGTAAGTTGGTGTTTCGCTACACCACATCTTTGTAAGTCTTAAATTTTTTTGTACAAAGCATTCAATGTAAGCGAGTTGTCGTAATGATCCTCTCGGTAACATTACTTAGTGTTGATTTCTTTTCACTTTTCAATAATTCGTATTCGTTAGAAGGTGCATCTCTTCTGAAGTTTCATCACGGAAAACGTTATAAAAGGTGCAATGACGCCTGGAGTGCCTGTATGTAAAAACTTTTTTTTTAATTATTTTAGGCAAATTCTCACGTAGCACAACTCCTTAAACAAAAACCTTTTTGTGTGTGTGTGTGTGTGTGTTTTTTTTTTGTCTGGGATTTTTCGGTTTTGAAACGCCCGATGGATCCAAGGTAGAGCACAGCTTGACCTTCTTTGGCCAAAGTCTGAATATCTTGGCCCTAGTTCGCCAAAAACGTACCAAAGTTAGGCATCACTGCTGGTAGTTTTGATGTCATCTGGCATTTTTGGATAATAGTCGTCAATCAAGCGCCAGATATAGGCTTCATTTCCGGTCGATCCTTTTTATGGGGCAACTTTTGGCCTAAAATTGTCAAACGAGTGCAAGTTTAAGGCTTCGCGGCTGGTTCTTCGGTTGATACGTGGCTTCTTTGGCTCAAGTCTTGCTCTTTGGCGATTTGTGATGAGCCAGAGAAAAGCGACGCAAACAAGTATCCTGGCTCTAACTAACGCCTTAGAGCAAACCGTATTAGCCTCCAAGTTAGGCTCCTCGGGTTGTCAAGCTTGTGCAAAGTTTCTCTGACGTTTCTCTGACGAGCTAGCTGGTTGTACACAACAACAAAAAGCTCCTGAGCGTCCAACATTCAATAAAGTGCTTTTGAGATCCAATCGCTGGAATCTACATTAGGAGCTCGGCAAGTGACCAGGAAACAAAATCTGTTCAAGACCTCAGAAGCGTTCCATGTTGTGAAAGTGAGCGTGAGCTTTCATGTTCTTACGTCGTGCTCGGTGTCACTGGGCAGATTGGTTTTTGTAGGTGCAAACGTATTTGCAGCCTCATCACAGCCGAGCTCCATCAGCTGGTTGCAGCTGAAGGCACTGGATTTAGTGACATTGTAGTTGCTGCAACTGGCTCTTCTAAGTGCTTTGCGGAAGAGTAGCCGCTCCAGATTTCCTAGAGTGTATATTGATCTCCATGATTGTGTTTTGCGGAACTGTAAGGAAGGCAGCGCTCATGCCAGGGAAACGGTCGATTTCCGACCTTCTGAGCCGATATCAATTCGCTCGTATGCCGTGCACTCAGTAAAAAGTAGGCGATGATTCATAAAGAGTACTGCGACAATATGAAAGTGGCACGTTGAAATTGTCTAAATCTGCGAAAGCTCTGTCACGATCCCGCGCACAAGTTGTATATGGTGATGCAGAAATTGATAAGTTGACATGATCGGTGATAGAAGAAACATTGAGTGATAATTTTTTTACTTAACAATTTTACATTTTATGAACATTTGTAGTGAATTAAAAAAGCTCCAGATAATTAAAACGTCTTTTTTTTTTTACTTCAACGTAGTAACGTAAAATAAATTACGTTGCGTTTCACATGCACAAAGCTTCAAATACGGAACTTCCGTACTGTTGCTGGGCTCCCCAAAGGCAGAAACAACTGCCTCGTTCAAAACGAAGGACCAGAAAATACATTTTCAGAGTTACAATCGTCGCGCAAATGAATGCCGAATTACGAATAAATTACAAAAAAAAATGTATTATTGTATACCAGCATTTTTTCTTCAAACCTCCGTGGAGGTGCAGTATTAAGGCGCCGTCGTTCTAGGTCACATAGGCAAAAGAAAAATTAATTCTTGCTGTGATATTGTTGAAAATAAGGAAATACGTATCAGTTTAGCGAACACTATCCGCTGGACTAATGCGTGGTCTTGTAAAGCCTTGACCAGTACACAAGAACGCAAATCAAACAGAAAAAAAAAATAGTGGTCGAATATCGGCAGCCATTAGGAAAAGATTGAGCGGATAATCGGATAGTTGAAGGACGGGAAATACTGGATGCACGGGCTGCAAGTAATCAACCTTCCGGACGCCTGGCATCAAAATCAATCTGGGTCCACACGCCCTCTATTGTCACTTTTGGTCATTAAAGCCTGAATTCTTCATGCACCAATCTAATACACAATTTTCTAAAAGCTAAAATGCTTTCAAGGTTGATGCATAGCATGTGGGAAAATATTTCTAATATATGTTTGAGTGAACCTATTGTTTTTTAATACCCACTATCAAATGAGGAAAAAAATATTTTCACCAATCATTCTTTTGTTATTTTTATACAGATTTGTAGATGTGTCTTACCTTTTAACAAATCAGCAGCGTTTATTTTTTCCCAGACTCCTTGGGAAACAAGCAGCTGTAATCTCCGGTAGGCATTCGGCGAATGACGAGGAATAAAATATAGAAATAACAAAGGACTTGCCGGCGAGCTGGTGAACTTCAAATATATGTGTCACCCGAAACTAATGAACAGACCTATGTTGTACACTTCTTTTGTTCATAAGTTTCGGGCGTTACATCGCAAACTATCTTTCCTGTCTACAAGTCATTATCAGCCTCGTCATTTGCTGACAGTTGCCAACTCAAACAAAAAAAAGCTAAATTTAAAGCGCATGCACAAAACTAACGTATGAACGTCGTGATATCATGTTTTAATGTTCGCCCCAGAATATCTTAATGACGTCGCAAGCCTTAATCTCACTGACAATTTTGTTAAGAGTAAGCACAAATCATGGCGCCATGACTCAACAAATTTACCTCAGAAATCTAGCTATTTAAGGGGGGACAACTCTTGAAATTTGCAAGTTCTTAGAAAAATATGACTTTTCATGTTTTTATATATTGTGGTTCAACAACTAATAGTGCCCACTCTGAAAATTTTTATTGCAATATTTCAAATATTTACTGAGAAATACAACATTTCCGGTAAGCCGACGATGCCAAATCATGTTGTGGAAATGTGCAACTTTTAGGTTTTTTATTTTCCAACAGCTGTAGCTCCGCACCGGTACGCCCTAGAATGATGATCACACTCTCGTTAGAAATAGCATTTAATCACAGTTTCAGTACATTAAACATATTTGTTCGACAGTCAGTACTATCCGTTTAAGAACACCAAAAAAGTCCAGCTTCCCCATGGAAGAGGCTATGCACATGGCCGAGAATCGAAAAATCCACCTTGACTGAACAGAAAACTAACTAAAATATAATTACTGACGCTGGCTCAGGTATGGCAAGCATATCCGACTCCTCACTCGTCTCATAATCAATGTCCACATGTCGACAATAAAATGACACTCGAAGAAAGTGCTTTAAGTTCGGACTCGCTCAGCAAGGCAACCTAGGGGATCGGGCGTGAGCAGACGGCACCCCCTATGCTCTTGATGCCTTTTAGTGAACACCACCAGCAGTAAAATCAAATGTATTTTTGTGGAAAGTTCAAATAGGTTTCATTTTTTTCAGTTTCACTTCTTGCAACGATTTTCGTTTTAACAAATTTACCATTTCAATGAATTACGGAGTTATAATGTTCGCTGTGGATGTTTCTGAACTGAAATTTAAATAGGAATGCGGCTAGGTATATGTTTTCTGTTCTAACTATGTTCGTATTTCCGAAACATGGGGATCTGATGAGGAGAAAATGCCCCATTGTATGGAATTCTTTTTTAAATTGTCATTTTGCATAAAAAAAGCAGATTTCAGGGCAAAAAATAGATAGGCACCTCTCCCATAAGTTCTAGTTTTGGCTGGAGCTTAGCAAAGCTCAATATTTTGCAGCAATTTTAAATGGTAGATTTTCTTGCAAAGTGAGGCGACTTACATCAATAGGGGTATACCTCACCCAGTAGCTGATCGGAAAATTGTTCTTTGAAAATAAAACGTCATACACTGCATTTATGCAACAAGGTGAATAGCCCCTCTAACTTTCGTTAATGTTGAGCGACTAATTTGACAGTCGACAGTTCAAGGTGGTGTCACCTTTTGAGATTGATAAATGTAAACTGGAGAACACATTCGACTATCAGAAATTATGCTATAATGACTTGAAAACCGCAAAAAAAAGTACCGCCAACCGCAAGACTGCCATTTCTCCCGTCATACAACTTAGAAAACAACACAATTTAGCGGGAAAAACACTACGTTGGCAACACTGTGTGCGGAGCTCCCTTCATATGTATTACAGCGATTGTCTTTCCCAAGTGTTTTGCCGGGAACTTAGACGATCTAGATATCTTGGTGTTACATACTCAGTTTTGGTTCTCTCGAGCAGATTGGAGGCATTATATGTCTCTCGCGATCGCAGAGAGTTTGATCGGGTTACTCTATTCGTTCGCTTCATTTTACTTCATTTAAATTCACTTAACGCGTAAATTACCTAAGTGCATATTCATCATTCGCGCCGACTCGACGAGGCCGCCGTCAACGATGAACCGAACTACAGTCGCTGACAACTTAAGAAACAAAGGGCGTGGCTTATAATGGCTTCTTGCTTCGCGATTGGTTCTTCGGCCTTCTTATCGCCGATGCCGCAAGCGTCTAAGAAGCGACATAGGGATGCTCAGGAGTCGCAATGCCCTGCTTTTATTGTTTCTTCTGAGCTGTCAGTAAATATAGCAAATGAAGTACTCGATTCATCATCTACGCCTATGCTGTTCCTCCGCCAATCACCGGTAAATTACTCTTTCCTTAGTAAAAAGTTGCGAAAGGTCTTTGTTTTAAGAGCTCTTTCTGCTCCCTTGAGTAAAAAATGAGCATTAAAAAGAGCACGAGAGCAAGGTAAACAAAAAAGTTGTCACAAGTTTTTTTTTTCAATTTTGTACGGCTTTTCAGGAATTTCGAACACGTCCGCATTTTCAGGAACAGGCGTCAGCACCTGTGGCTCGAACGTCGTAATTTAAGATATGCAAAATTCCCTTTTATGCTGCTGTTTTTTCTCGATCTTGTAGCTAAAACAAACATAATGAGTAC